GGTGCTGAAAGGGTGGTCTGATCCAAGAAAACCTTGAATAAGGGGAAAAGGATTCTGGAACAAAATGGACAAGGCCAAAACCGGTCCTTTCCTGTCTTTTCAGAGTACTGAAGGCTAAGTTCAGCTAAAGACACACCAAGCAAAAAAAAAAAAAAAAAAAAAAAGGATTTAACGATATAATAGATCTGTCTACGAGTGGCTTTTCTTGCATTCAGCAAGATGAGAATGAGACTCAGAAACCACTCTGTCCCCTTAGACCTGGGCTTCAACAACCATGCTGTTAAAGCCAGTGACTGAGATGTAAGCTGGAACAGGAGGCCCTAGGAGAGCAGGGGTCTGTGTACCAAGTTCTTCTGGGCCAGTTTGGTACAATGAGAATCACCAGCTCCTTCTCTTGCTCTATTTTGCAGAGCGGTCAAGGCAGACTTTTCACCTAGAGAAGAAGGTGCATGCTTGTTCCATGCCAAAAGGATGTTGTATTGCATTCTGCAAATCTGACTGTCTTTGCAGTCTTGCAGCAAATAGAAGAGCTGAGTTTTGGCTGAGAATTTGAGGCCTGGTTTGAGCGGAGAAGGGGCTCTACTTGGAAGTCCCAAAGAAGGGTGACTTAAGTCTTCCATTGTGGACGAAGGGCCTCCCCCTCTATGGCATATTTGATGTACAGTGCATATAAAAAGTCTACACACCCCTGTTAAAATGTGAGGTTTCTGTGATATAAAAAAATGAAACAAAGATAAATCATTTCAAAACGTTTTCCACCTTTAATGTAACCTAAAAACTGTACAACTCAATTGAACAACAAACTGAAATCCTTTAGGTGCAGGGAAGTAAAAATAAAAAACTAAAATAATATGGCTGCATAAGTGTGCACACCCTTAAAATAATACTTTGTTGAAGCACCTTTTGATTTTATTACAGCACTCAGTCTTTTTGAGTATGAGTCTATCAGCATGGCACATCTTGATGTGGCAATATTTGCCCACTCTTCCTTGCAAAAACACTCCAAAACGTCAGATTGCGAGGGCATCTCCTGTGCACAGCCCCATTCAGATCATCCCACAGTTTTTCAATCAGATTCAGGTCTGGGATCTGGCTGGGCCATTCCAAAACTTTAATCTTCTTCTGGTGAAACCATTCCTTTGTTGATTTGGATGTATAAAATAAATTTAGAAAAGCGCCACACTTTTACCCTTAATCAATAAATAATCCACTATAGCCGCAACTCCGAAACCCAAAAAAATATTTGCCATAAATATAGAAAAATATATAGGAATGCGCTAAATTAAATATAATAAAGTGTCCATAATAAATATGTGAAAGTCCAAACACCATAAATAAATCAAAAATTCATCTTGTGAAACTCATAACACTGTGATCAATCCACCACCAAATAAAATTGGATAAACTCACCAGAGCTAAATGCTGATCAGATTATAGAGCAGCACAAGCGCTTTTGCTCTGGGAGCGATGAATAAAGCGATATCCAGACTATACATGCAATATTCTGCAGTGGTATTCACATTTCCAGGTATTACGTAGCAATACTCCATAATGATGGACAATATCTCAAAGTAAGGACCAATACTCTGCAGCCAAATCTCCCAGGATGAGCAAGTAAGGTGTCCAGACCGACACCAGCTTAGACTGCGTTACACAGCACTGGTAATGGACAAGCCCCGCTCACCGCGGATCACTGCCGACAGTCAACAGGGAACGTCCTGACGTCAACATCAAGTAGGCCACGCCCTATCGCTTTATTCATCGCTCCCAGAACAAAAGCGCTTGTGCTGGTCCTATAATCTGATCAGCATTTAGCTCTGGTGAGTTTATCCAATTTATTTGGTGGTGGATTGATCACGGTGTTATGAGTTTCACAAGATGAATTTTTGATTTATTTATGGTGTTTGGACTTTCACATATTTATTATGGACACTTTATTATATTGTTATATTTAATTTAGCGCATTCCTATATATTTTTCTTGATTTGGATGTATGCTTTAGGTCATTGTCATGCTGAAAGATGAAGTTCCTCTTCATGTTCAGCTTTCTAGCCTGAAGGTTTTGTGTCAATATTGACTGATATTTGGAACTGTTCAGAATTTCCTCTACCTTGACTGAGGCCCCAGTTCCAGCTGAAGAAAAAAACCGCACCAAAGCATGATGCTGCCACCATCATGCTTCACTGTGGGTATGGTGTTCTTTTGGCGATGTGCAGTGTTGTTTTTGCACGAAAAATATCTTTTGGAATTATGCTCCAAAAGTTCAGACCATAACACATTTTCCCACATGCTTTTGGGAGACTTCAGATGTGTTTTTGCAAAATTTAGCCAGGCTTGGATGTTTTTCTTTGTAAGAAAAGGCTTCCGTCTTGCCACTCTACTGCATATCCCAGACATATGACGAATACGGGAGATTGCGGTCACATGTACCACACAGCCAGTAGTTGCCAGATATTTCTGCAGCTCCTTTAATGTTGCTGTGGGCTTCTTGACAGCCTCCGAGACCCATTATTTTCTCGTCTGTTCATCAATTTTGGAGAGACGTCCAGATCTTGGTAATGCTACTGATGCGCTATATTTTCTACACTTGATGACTGCCTTCACTGTGTTCCATGGTATATCTAATACCTTGGAAATTCTTTTGTACCCTTCTCCTGACTGATACCTTTTAACAATGAGATCCCTTTGATGCTTTAGAAGCTCTCTGCGAACCATGGCTTTTGCTGTAGGATGCGACTAAGAAAATGTTAGGAAAGACCAGACAGCTGAACTTTATTTGGCGTTAATCAGGGGCACTTTAAACCATGGCAGGTGTGTACTGACTCCTATTTAACATGGTTTTGAATCATTTTGAAAAGATTGCTTAATTCTAAACACAGCTACATCCCCAGTTACAAGAGGGTGAGCATACTTATGCAACCATATTATTTTCATTTTTTATGTTTACCCCCCCCCCCCCCCCCCCCAAAAGATTTCAGTTTGTTTTTCAATTAAGTTGTACAGTTTATAGGACACATTAAAGGTGGAAAAAGTTCTGAAATGATATATCTGTCTCTTTTTTTACATCACAGAAACCTGACATTTTAACAGGGGTGTGAAGACTTTTTATATCCACTGTATATACCTCAAGAAGCCTGACTGAAAAATGCTTAGGATAATGCTAAGAGCTAACTAGCTGTTACGGTTCACGTTTACTATCACAGGACTGAGCACTGAAATGCTGAGCTCAGAGCTACTGTATCAGGGGAGAGAAAGTGCATGTGTGGGGGTTTGAATCAGAGAAAGAACTCGCTCCTGTGATGGTTAAGGTGAACTGTAACAGCTAGGAGTCTCTCAGTAATATCCTGAGAGTTTTCCAGTCAGGCTTCATGAGGTATGTAAATGGCCCACCACTGTAGCAAAGGCATTATTCATCTTTGGTCAATGCTGCACAGATTGCTATTATCTTCGGACACCCCTTATCTGCATAAGCAGTGTTTTGGGAAGGGTGAACTGTGCCTTTAAACCCCACTGGGATTTGCACAGCCAGAGACCAGGTGCTGTTTCAAAATAGCACAAGGACAAATAAGTCCCAAAACAGCACCATAAAAAGACAATAGGGACTCTATTTCAGTAAAGATTCACCTTAAACACCCCTCTGGAATACTGTAGGGATACATAAATCATGCTGAAACTCACAAAAGACCAAGCATTGGACAACATAAAAGACCCAGTAAGATCAGGGTCATGCAAGAAAACACACTTTATGTCATGGACTGAATAAACTATTCTCCCCACCCCAGTGCTCCATCAGCAACAATGAACTTCACTTATTTGCTTTCCTTTGGTCTCTTAAATAGTTCATTGAAAGTGTTTTGTTTGATACATTCAAAAAATACCTGCTGAACCTGTTAGAACTCTTGTAAGCCAATAAATTCCTGTGCACTCTGCCTCTGCTGACCGTTACCAGTGCTCTCCATGGACTACAGAACAACACAACACTATGCTATAGAGGTGAGGAGGAAGGGTGTTCTGTAGAACGTACAACTTGTCCTAGAATGACTATTCTGTTCTTCCAGCTAGGGGACATTGTCACCCTAAAGCGTACTACTGGCAGGACCGCCAGGGGAAAATAAAGAAAAAAAACAAGCCAGAATGAAGAACAAAAATTCAACTATCACATACACTTTAAGGTCTGGTAAGATGCAAAATATTAAATTTTCTTCTTCAGTTTAGTTACACTTTAAAGGTTAAGTTCACCTACACAGAAAAATAATAAATGCACATATTTTGGCAAAAAAAAAAGAAAAAAAAGTGCATTTACTATTTTTTCCTGCAGTAGCCTGGAAAGCATTGCACCCGTGATCAGTAATGTGGGCTCCTACAGACACGTCCGCCGGCCTTCAGCCCATACCTCTGTACAGGACTTTCTGTTTGAAAGCCGGAGGACATGTTGGTTGACTAAGAGCATGCATTAGTGCCCCCCCACAGCCCACTGAAACTACAAATCTGCGTGCTGTGGTGGAAGGTGGTATTTGTAGTTTATTCTTTCACAGGAATCTGAATGAATGGTGTAGCTGTGTGTGCGGATCGTCACACAGCCATGTTTTTAAAAGTGACAGAGGGTGTGAGGCAGGAACTGGAACATGTTAGATTTTCCACACTAAATAGGGGTGGAACATGTAACATGTTCCAAAGGTGAACTTGGCTTTTAAATGAAACTCTCAAAGTCAGTAAAAAACATTTAGATCAGCCAAATGTGTATTGGATTGTACCAAGTTGTTTTTAAACAGTACAAAAACTACCAGAACTTCCACTGTATAATACATTTTAAAACTCAATTTTAATAAGGGAAGGGAAAAACAGTCTGTAGTTCAACAATTTCTGTAAAAAAAGAAAGGTTAACCCCAATTTTTTTTTCAATAGCAAGGCTTATTTTGCAATACCACACATGCTAAAAATAAAACGTTTTTATCTCCTTTAACAAAACTGCAGTACTTCTTTCAATTTGCTGTCCTCACCTTTAAGAAGCTGCCCAATAAGTAGTGTATTGGGTCCTTTTTCTGAACTTTGCACCAACGCATTTGCGATTTTGGTAAGATGCCCCATAAAGCCTTTTCTCCGTCCACCTTCAGACCTAAAACATTTTAAATAATATAAGTTGCATAGCAAAAATACAGGCTTCAATAAATTTTGAATAGACTGCAAATACAAAAAAAAAAAAAAAAAAAACCCTCATCTGAAGAGGCATGGTTTCTAAAGTGTGAGTTTAGGGCTCAAATGTAAAGTTTATTTGAAAGTCTGAACCAAGCTATATTGTATTATATTATACTGTATGGGCCCATGCACACCGCTGCATTTACACAACTGTGCTGCATAAGGATCCTTAAAATCTGTGGTCAGCAGTTTCTGCATGTATGGATTTAAATGTGTGTTAACACATGCACATGAATACATTTTTTTAAATTCCAGCTAGACAAAATAAGAAGAGTTTCACAGACTGAGGGCCAATTCACACTGACTTGCACTAAAATGAATGTACATTTCCATTCATATTAGTCGCGTTTTAGCGGACATCTGTTGACATACATTTTGACATACATTTTGCATTTTAGCGCAACACAACATTATGGTGTGAATAAGACACATTAAAATGATCATTCTTCAGATGTCCTTCCGTTGATCTTGGTTTTACAGCTGCGCTAAAATGCACTGGCACTTATACATTTACAGGTCTAAAAATATAGTTAATATGGAAGCACATTCTGACTGCTAAGTGCTTTTTTTTTTTCCTTTTAGATATCAGTAAATTAATCATGGCTGTATGCATGCGCCTTTATGGTCAGCAGCCATCTGATTACAAAAATAAGGATATGGTGCAGAATCCGTTTGCTCAGCAGGGGATCAGTTTGCTGATCCTCCACTGAGTAGAGAAAAGTGGGCGGATGAAAGGTCTGTCTCTGCTCCACTTATGCAGCGCAAACATAGACAGAGCCTGCTCTGCTATACGGGCAGTTGAAAGTAAGCGGACCAGCTATCCTTTTACACCTGACTGCCGTCTGATGCGATCAGAGGGAAACCGACACCCCCTTCTTTTTCTTTTCTTTTTTTTTTTTTTTAAGCGGATTGGATTGGAGGTAGGTGTAAACGGACACGAGCCTGTTTACATCCTCTACTACATAGAGCCCAAGTGTTATCACACAGGTGCATCTCAGTAAATTAGATCAAAAAGTTATTTTTTTCAGTTATTGAATTAAAAAACTGAAACTCATATTATATAGATTCATTACACACAGAGTGATATATTTCAAGCACTTCTTTCTTTTAATGTTGATTATTATGGCTTACAGCTAGTGAAAACCCAAAATTTGGTATCTCAGAAAATTACAATATTGTGAAAAAGTTCAATACTGTAGACTCATGGTGTTGCACTCTAATCAGCCAATTAACTCAAAACACCTGTAAAGGTTTCCTGAGCCTTTAAATTGTCTCTCAGTCTGGTTCCTCAAGTTAGACAGTTATGGGGAAGACTGCTGACTTGACTGTTGTCAAGAATACAGTCATTGACACCCTCCATAAGGAGGGCAAGTCACAAAAGTTGTCATTGCTAAAGAAGCTGGCTGTTCATAGACTGCTGTAACCAAGCATATTAATGGGAAAGTTGAGTGGAAGGAAAGAGTGTGGTAGAAAAAGGTGCACAAGCAACAGGGATAACCGCAGCTTTAAGAGGATTGTGAAGCAAAGGCCATTTAAGAATTTGGGGGAGATTCACAAGGAGTGGACTACAGCTGGTCAGTGCCTCAAGAGCCACCACACACAGAAGTACCAGGACATGGGCTACACCTTGTGACAAGCCACTCCTGAACCAGAAGCGTCTTACCTGGGCTAAGGAGAAAAAGGACTGGACTGTTGCTCAGTGGTCCAAAGTCCGTTTTTTCGGATAAAAGTACATTTTGAATGAGTGGAGAGGCACAGAATGAGTGGAGAAGCACAGAATCCAAGTTGCATGAGGTTCAGTGTGATGTTTCCACAGTCTAATGATTTGGGAAGCCATGATATCTGCTGGTGTTGGTCCACTGTGTTTTATCAAGTCCAAAGTCAGCGCAGCCCTCTACCAGGAAATTCTAGAGCACTTCATGCTTTCCTCTGCTGACCAGTTTTATTGGAGATGCTGATTTTATTTTCCATCAGGACTTGGCACCTACCCACACTGCCAAAAGTACCAATACGGGGTTTCATGATCATGGTATCACTGTGCTTGATTGGCAAGTAAACTCGCCTGACCTAAACCCCATAGAGAATCTGTGGGGGATTGTCAAGAGGAAGATGAGAGACACCAGATCTAACAATGCAGATGAGCTGAAAGCCGTTATCAAAGCAACTTGGGCTTCCATACCACCTCAGTTCACACTATACTGTACATGGACATACGTTTCCGAAAGCCAACAGTTCTGTATTAAAAATCCCCTCTTTTATTGTAATATTCGACTTTTGAGATACTGAATTTTGGGTTTTCACTAGCTGTAAGCCATAATCAGCAAAAGAAAGAAATGCTTGAATTATATCACTCTATGTGTAATGAATATTTATATGAATTTCACTTTTTGAATTGAATTTCTAAAATAATGAGCTTTTTGATGATATTATAATTTATTGAGATTCACCTGTGTGTATACACACACACACATATATATAACATACTATATTGCCAAAAGTATTGGGACACCCCTCCAAATCATTGGATTCAGGTGTTCCACTCACCTCCATGGCCACAGGTGGATAAAATCAAGCACCTAGGCATGCAGACTGCTTCTACAAACATTTGTGAAATGGGTCACTCTCAGAAGCTCAGTGAATTCAAGCGTGGTACCGTGATTGCTTGTCAACTGTGCAATAAGTTCATCTGTGACATTTCCTTGCTACTAAATATTCCACAGTCAACTGTTCGTGGTATTATAGTGGAAGCAACTGGGAACAGCACCAATTCAGCCACAAAGTGGTAGGCCACATAAAATGACAGAGCAGGGTCAGCGCATGTTGAAGCGCATAATGCGCAGAAGGCGCCAACTGTCTCCAAAGTCAATAGCTAAAGACTTCCAAACTTCATGTGGCCTTCAGTAATTGCTGTGTAGAGCGCTTCATGGAATGGGTTTCCATGGCCAAGCAGCTGCATCCAAGACTTACATCAAGTGTAATGCAAAGCTTCAGATGCAGTGGTGTAAAGCACGCCGCCACTGGACTCTAGAGCAGAGACTTGAGTGACAAATCACGCTTCTGGCAATCCAATGGACGCTTCTGGCAATCCAATGGACGTGCCTGGGTTTGGTGGTTGCCAGAAAGGTATTTGCCTGACTGCATTGTGCCAAGTGTAAAGATTGGTGGAGGAGGGAATTATGGTGTTGGGTTGTTTTTCAGGGACTGGGCTTGGCCTTCTAGTTTCAGTGAAGGGAACTCTTAAGGCTTCAGCATACTAAGACATTTTGGACAATTTCAAGAGTCCTGATCTCAACCCGATAGAACACCTTTGGGATGAATTAGAATGGAGACTGTGAGCCAGGCCTTCTCGTCCGACATCAGTGCCCAACCTCACAAATGTGCTTCTGGAGGAATGGTCAAACATTCCCACAGACACACTCCTAAACCTTGTGGACAGCCTTCCCAGAAGAGTTGAAGCTTTTATAACTGCAAAGGGTGGGTCAACTCAATATTGAACCTACAGACTAAGACTGGGATGCCAGTAAAGTTCATGTGCGTGTAAGAGAAGGGGTCCCAACACTTTTGGCAATCTAGTGTGTATATATACACAGATACATACACACAAATAAAAATAAAAATGTTATATATTCTATACACAATAAAAACTTACTGTTCTTTTTCATTATCCTCCCATGCTGAAAGTATCCTCTGTACAAGCTGACATTTCTGTAAAAGCTGGCATTAAAGAAAAAAAAATTTAATTAATCCTAGATTGTTTCTACTACAGAAGAATTTTATTTTTATAAAAAGTTCTTTATGAATATTAACACAGGAGACCAGCGACAATGCGCAACTCTTTTCTGGGGCTGGTGTTTACAAATGAGAGGTACAGGTTCAATTCTTCATGAACACTAAAGGACAGAACTAAAAGGTATGCACATGTGTTTCTAGATATCAACTTTAGAACCCTATTTTCAGTTTTATTTACTGTAGCCTTGGTCCCCTTGCTTTGTTTCTTACTTTCATTGAAATATGAAATGTCCAACTGTAGCATAGACAGAGACATGGAAGCTCTATGCCTTTTCTATTCCATTCAAATCTATGGAAAATATTTTGGCTGGAAGTCTATTTCAGAATTTGAAAAGAAGCCAAAATCACAGCAATATTTATGTAAATTCCTCAATACCTGTACAATAATGAGGCTTCCAAGTGGAAGACTGACAATTTTCGGTGAAATTGATCGCCATCTCAATTTCTTATCGACTTAAAAATACGTTTTAATATACAGTGGCTATAAACGGTGGAAAAAGTTCTGAAATTATTTATCTTTGTCTCATTTTTTTTACATCATAGTAACCAGACATTTTAACAGGGGTGTGTAGACTTTTTATATCCACTGTACTTATCAAAAATTAAGGTTCTTTATTATACTAAATAAACTTCAATGTAACTTGAGATTATGTGACAAAAAGAATACCCAATACAATTCAAATGAAATGTTCTTACATATTTAACCAGTTCATTTTCTTGGACTTCGCTTTCATTCGTTTCTTGAATAGGGATTGAATTTAAAACCGTTGTGATGCAGACTTCAATTTGTGAGTGCAAGAAGTTATTGTACATGTACTTGAAATACAAATTCTGAAACAAGGAGATACAAGCATTAAAAGGAACTTAAAGAAAAAAAAAAGTTATTTACACATGCATACTTTATATCTATACACTTATTAAAAGATGTAAAAAGGAGTTGTAGTTTTTCCCTTCATTTCAGCAAGATATAGTTTAAACCTGTCTACCCTATAAGAGAGGTTTTTCTAACCACATGGTCCTAAAATAAATGCAGGTTGGATTTAGTTAGTGCAGGGTTAGTTAGCATTGCAGTAATGTGCATTTCAGAGCAATTGTGAAGCTCAATGCGGTGCCATTCTTTTAGAATTGCATAAGGAGTCACAAGTACAGTAGGTGCCAATGAACTTGCACAACAGCACACCATAATGCACACCACTTGCTTTATGGTGTTTATTCTCAATGGGCTTCCACGCACTGGAAGCCCATTCTTGATGAAATGGCTGTCATAATGCAACACATTAACTTGAACAGGGTAGCACACAACAATGGGCTAGCATAGTGTTTAAAAGGAGCCTTAATATTTTGATTTGCAGATGGTCAAGCGACATGTCGGCTATGAGGACTTGGGAAGGGGCTTCCCAAAATGCCAGGTAGTATGTATTTCCATATGGCTTTAGAAACTGTCATATCAGCTGTTATGTTTGAGAACACAGAAACGTGTTTAAAAGCAGTTTAGATTTTAATGACACCTTTACTGTTAAAAGTCAATCAATATGTTGAAAAAAACACATACACAGTATAATAGCCTTATGATTAAGGATTAAAAAAACAAAAAACTTTCAAAACAACATTTTCTGCATGTTTTGCTACCCTGCACTGTGTTGATCTAACCCACCCCTCCACTACATACTATTTATCACCAAGTTCACCTGTATGATGCCACAATGTTTACATGAGGCCGGTGCATCTTCTACTTCCTGCTGCCTGTACATGCGTGTAGTAAAACCCCATCGATGTATACAGGAGCGGGAGACAGGTCTGTAAAAGTGTAAGGTGCACCATTGCGTATGCGTAGGAAGCAAGACCCAGACCTAGCCTTTAGTGACACTGCTCCTCATCTCTCTCTTACTTCCAGCGATGTCAGCACATACCACCAATCTGCTCCCAGCACAGCAAGTCTCCTATCAAAAATTTACTTCAGTAGATAAAGTGACATGTAGAAGCCACAAATAAGTAGTGAGAGGGTACATTATATGCTTGGAGCCAATAGCTGGTATCTGCAAAGAGCAATGCAGGTTAGAGAACAGCAGTACTGTCACTGAATGACAGGTCCACGCTGAGGGTAGGTACAGTCTTTTGGATAAACCAAAATGGTACCAAAACCTGGTGCTTTCACAGTGGCAGCAGGTAGGTAATAACGTTTTGCTTCTACACGTGCTGTAGCATAGACATTTAAATGAAGACCAGTACCATTCACATCAGTCATATCCAATAGAAAGCAAATGAATGGTTCATGCAATCTGTTCAGGAATCATAAGCCTGTATTGCAATGTGGACTATAGCCCCATCAGCTCACACAAAATCCCCCTAAGTTTCTGATATGACTTACATAGGCACTGCAATTCTTGGCCTCGCAACTCACACCAACAACCCTACAACCTCTGTGGCTGGTAGGAGAGACTACATTTTGCATGCAGCTGACACCACCCCCTCACCACCACTGTCACGGCACAGCCCAAAAACCACTCTCTTCACCAATGTTCCTGCAACCTCCTCACCATGCTTACAACTTCCCCACCACTGTGCTTTAAGTCAGTCCCCTGCGCTCCCTCCACTGCAGCTGATGCCCATCCTCCTCCCCCTGGACCACATGGCACATCAACCATCATTGTTACCACCCAGCTCTACCACATTTCCCCACTTTACTTGCCACTGCACCAACACCATCCTCAGTGCTCGCAACCACTGTACCAATGCACATATCTGCACTCTCCACCACTGCAGTGATATGCCCTTCCATATTTCGCCTGTTCAACAATTAACCACAATTTGACAGTCTGTACTTCAAAGTATCTACATACAATGAAGTTGTGTAAGCTATCTTAAAAAAAATATACATGCAGAAGAAAGGTCATACTTACCAGCATGGTGTTGATGGAATCAAGTCTTATAAGTTCTTGATTTAAAGCCCTGTTGTTTGCATTAATTGTGCTAGCAAGCAATTTCACTACATGGAGCCGAGTATTCCCTAATGGTGGATCGAGAACGCCCCAAGTTGTAAGTAAACTTTGTTTCTAGAAAGAAAAGAGAAAAAAATGTCAAGATGTTTACATTCATACAAATATATAGTGGGTTTACTTTGAATAAAGCATTGCTGGAATCATTTTCTATGCTAAAGTCTATAGTGCGGACACAAGAGGATCAATTTACAAATGCATGGTTTTATATCTCATACTAAATTATGTCCCTATATTGAAGTGATACTAAAGGTTCAGCTTTTTTTTAATAAAATATTTCATACTTACTTGCTCTGTGCAATAGTTTTGCACAGAGTAGCCCTGATCCTCCTCTTCTCGGCTCTCCTGACTCCTCCACCCCTCCCCTCCTGCCGCAGACTGGCCCAGAGCAAGCTGCCTGCACTGGGGGCATTCTTGCGGGTTCCCTCCCGAGCTACCTCTGTGTGTCCATAAGACACAGAGCACAGCTTGGCCTCACCCTCGGCTCCCTCCACACTGGCTGCGATTGACAGTAGAGGGAGCCAATGGCTCCTGCTGCTATGTCTCAGCCAATGAGGAGGGAGAGACCCAGGAGAGCAGCTGTTCTCGTGCTCATCACTGGATCAAGCTTGAGTTATTGGAGGGACTGAGGGGGGGTGGAGCTGCACACTGAAGGTTTTCTTTTTACCTTTCATGCATTCTATGAAGGTAAAAAAAAACCTTCAGTCCTTACACTTTAAGTTGAAGTAATGACAATTAAAGAGACAATTTTCACATAAGGAGTGACAAGGGAATTTCTCTGAGAGGTTCAAATGGGGATGTCTGCAACAAAGTAACGTGTATTCCTGCGCTTGGATACATTGAAAAGAAAAAAAAAAAAAGAGAAAAGCTGCTGTCACAGGAAGACACAACCAACCTCACAAAATCCAAATCAAAAAAAGGCAGTGCTAATCAAAGTGACAGTATAACCAAAAAGTGCTCCTATAACAAAAGTCCAAAATATGTGCAAAATAGTGCATCCAGACGATCCAAAAGAAAGCAAAAGTGCACATCAATCCAATACCATTGAAGGAAAAAGGAGAACACCTCGGAGGTCCAGTGGTAAAAATTAAGTGGATCATACACTTGACATAATCAGGGGTGTGGCTCCTGACGTCAAACATAAGACGAAACGCACTGGGCACCACCTAACGTGACATCACCACACTGATTATTGATTGAAAGGAACGCTATGTTTTTGTGTATGCTGCAACTTTGGAAACGTTAATGCCTGTTTCTTTTTAACATGTGAGTGCAATGTTGCTGTTTTAATAAATTATATTTAGAATATACTGCACTATGAGGTTTTGTGTTTTATCGGTTTATGAACTTGGGAGGAGTCTGAGTGGAGTCCAGGGTTGGAACGGCATCCCATCGTCAAATAAGGATTGGTTTGGGGCTATTCTGATTATGGTAACCATCCACTTACTTTTATTACCACCTGACCTTCGAGGTGTTCTCTTTTTTCCTTCAATGGTATTGGATTGGTGGGCATGTCTTCCTTTTGGATCTTCTGGAAGCACTATTTTACACATATTTTTTACTTTTGTTAAAGGAGCACTATTTTGTTGGACTGGTTGTTGGAAGGTCCCGTTAAAACAAAGGGGGAATGCCCAAAAATCATCGTAACCCCCTGCACAAAATTCTTACCAAAGAAATGAAACATGATAGGTCTCTGAAAAAGAATGAAAGGTAATATTTTGCCCCTTGATGGTACATAAAGCCAGAAACCTTTCCACACCACACTGGAGAAAAGCCAAAATGCACCCCATTACATACGGTCATGGAAGAAACTTAAAAAGATCTCTGTCCTTCAGGACTTGGGCTTCAACAACTATGCTGTCAAAGCCAGTGACGGTAAAGCAGGATACAAGATCAGAACCTGCAAAGTCTGGTCGACCTGAAAGAGTCCATGGCTCATCTGCAAAGAGATTTACACTGTTTACATGCAAAATTTCCCTGCCAGCCCTTCTTGGGCTGGCAGGGAAATTGGATGGAAGGTATGGATCAGGGAAAAATTATCCCAAATAGGCATTCACCACAAAACACCTAAGCATCCCTAGTGTGTGATATAAACCTGTCTGGCTTTGTTGTTGAATCTGCATGGCAAGAGATCCACATCTGAATTCCCCCTTTGCAGAAAAAATCTCCATGAACACCTTTGGGTGAAAGGCTCAATATCCCTTATTCAGCTGTTAATGACTGGGAATGTCCAACTGACAATTTTCCAGACTAGGAATGTGCAATGTAGAGAAGGTATGGAACGTGACATTCTGCCCAAAAGCAGTTTAGGTCCACTTCTTACTAAGCTGCACAACTTCATATCCCTGCTTGATGGATTGCGTATGCCACAGCAATGAAATTGTCATACTGCACCCCAAGACTGGCAGACCAGTGAGGGAGAGTCAGCCGACACACAAAATTCAAGGATGTTGGATCGGCAACTTCTGCTCCTCTGATTAGCACATCCACTAAACTGAAAGGTTCTCCAGACAACTCCACAGCCTGACAAACTGGCATTCTTTGTCATTACTTCCAATTCATGGGAAGGAAGGATCTTCCAGCATTTGTGTGGATATCTACAATTCCAGAGCTGACCTGGTTTTCTGAGTCAGAAGCATTGTCAGATCCAAGGATTTCAGCGGTTTGTCCCAAACTGAGAGGATATTGAGTTGAAGTGCTCTGGAATGAAACTGGACATATGAGACAGTATCAAAAGTGACTACCATCCTCATGCAGACCCCAATCAAGGGAATTTCCAACAACCTCAGAGATTTCACCTGGGGTCAAACACACAGGCATTTTTTTTCCTAAGGAAGCAGTACCTGTGCAGTATCGGGCACCAAGCCTTAATACTCCTAATGTTACATCAGAACTAGAGCAGACTTTTTCAAGCTTCAGATACCCAACCAAACTTTTCTAGAATCTGCATGTCTAGATCAGTGTTTCTCAACTGAGGTTCTACGGCGATCTACCAGTCAGTCACAAGAGGCTGATGGGTAATCAAATCCCTCTGCTGACTCCTGCACAGCTACAGCGGCTGTGTTTGTGTAGTTGTGCAGTGCTGCACCCCGCCCACCCCTTCTCTCCATCCTTGGAGCTTGTATGAGACGTCACATGGAATGGACAGAAAGAGAGGATTGGAGGAGTGGCCGGCAGAAGAGGACTCATCACAGCTACTTCCCTGCTTAGCTCTGCAAATGAAGGAGATTGTTGCCTTTCCATTAGCCCTGACCTCATGTAAGGTGCCCTGATCCCATGTACAGTGTCCTAATACCATTTAAGGTGACCAGATCCCATTTGCCCTAATTTCATGTAAGGCACTCTGATCTCATATGCCCTGATCCCATTTAAGGTGCTCTGATCCTATGTAATGTGCCCTGCTGAGTGACCCGTAATGTGTCCTGCTGCCCCCATGTAATTTGCCCTCCTGACCTCCAGTGCTTTACCCTGCTACTCCCCTTTACACTACTTATCTCAAGTTTGACCCAGAATTGAACATCCAGAACATGCAGAAAAAACAAGCACAACTACAATAAACAGGTATGTTTTAATATTGGTTCTATTATTTAATGCCATGATTAAAAATAATTGTTATATCAACAGCTCACTGATCTCACCAATATTCCATGAGCTGTAGATCTGAACATTATTTCAAGGGTTCCTGAAAATCTCAAACTATTTGCCAAGGGTTCCTCCAAGGTTAAAGACAGGTTGAGAAAGACAGGTCTAGATGGACATTTGATATCAACGTCTGAGCTGTTTGTTCCCTGAGAAGCAGGATGTTCAGGAATTTCAGAATAAGAATATCCTGGATCCTCAACACCAGAACTGGAGCCAACAGCTTGGCAAACACCTTGGAGCGGTGGACAGGTCTTTTTTTGACAGGTTTTTAATGACTAAGGATTGGAAACTTATACACCAGGACTGTCAAGAGTCTTATTCAAGTAGGAAATAGCTGCAACAGCAGCCGATAACCCTAATTCCTCCTCAATGGGGTAATGCTCAGCAAAACACTTCAGGGGTGAGCCCAATTGACAAACATCACTTCCTGCAAACGAGGGTGTACAGAAGATTTGGGATGTTTGGGTGGCTGACAAGAACCAATCCTAGTAACTTTGGAAAAAAGAGGACTCCAAAGTGGCAATTTCAAAATAGTTAGAAATATGTCCGACAGGAAGCCCACTGTGGTCTTCTGTGTCTGAGACAGCTGGGGACTTTGAAACACCACCTGAGAGGACTCATGTTCTGAGGATTTCAAATCGTCGAACACTTTATCCTCCTCTTGATATTCCACAAAAGGGAAGGAGGGGGAAGGACAATGCTCAAGCTTGCGACCCAGGCATTCCAAGCCAGCGAGGATCCCTGAAAGCTGGTCACTCAAACAGAAATGGAAGTTGAAAATTTTATTAGACAGATTACTACCCTGGGGCTTTGTACTAACACCTGATCGCCGTGATATCCTCAGCCATTGTGCAGCTCGCCCATGTGCTTACTTTCTCTTCTGAATAGAGAGAACGATACATTTTATCTTTCTCCCTTTGCAGGGGAGAAAGATGTAAACAAACTAAAGTGTGTCAGTATATTTTTGGTAGGATTTTTTTTTACAAAAACATTTTTTAAATTCGTGTCAGTGTGTTTAAGGTAAAAGTAAAAAAAAAAAAAAAAGCAAGATGCACACTATTGCTTCTGGGCCCTACTATGGATAAACAACCTACACATGTGGTATTGCTGCAATCACTAAGAGCAGGAGAATTTATTTTGGGTTGTTCTTTGGTGATAAGTTACTGTAATAGCAAGAAATATACCTAAATACTGGAGACTTTCACCCCCTTTCTGTCCAGGCCAATAATCAGAATTCAGCACTGTAGCATTTTAAATGACAATTGCAACACTGTACCCATATGACATTTTTATAATTTTTTTCACACAAATAGAGTTTTTTCTTTTAGAGGTATTTAACCGTTTTCCCGCCACCCTATAGCAGATATACTGCTACAGGGGCGGCAGGAGTGCACAAAATCACGTATATATATATG